TCTTCTCTGTTCTGCTAACATTTGAACTGAACTGAAAGATTTTTAAATGTTAATCTTGCATTCCTGAGATAAACTTCTTTAAGTCAAATCTGTATACAGAAAGCACAATACAAATGCCAGTAACCTTTTTAAAAACAGAAGAATCACTAACACTTTTGCACTAAATGTCACCTCCAGTTCTACCTTAAATTCTCTGGGTACTTACACATCCATATGATGACCAGCACTCACTCTGCAGTCCATCACCCATTTCTTTTTCTATGGCACTCCACTCACTATGAAGAAAGAGATAAAACCAAAACTGTCATGAATTGGATATGCAATATTATTAAACAGAATCTTTTATGTTTTTTTCCTAGTTAACTTTTAAACAGTATCATATCTATTTTATTTTTTTCTTGACCATTTATTTTCTGTGACTCAAATATGCTCCTTTCCCCTGAAGTTTAACAACTAAATGCAAGTGAAGGCTTTAAAAATACTAATTCAAAAGTTTATATCTGCAGTTAAGTACAAAGTTAGTATCATACAAAACAGTTTCTGCTTACAGACAACTTTCTCAGCTACAGTGCCTATTTAAATCAACCGTGGAGCTTTCAGAAACTATGAATGCTTGTCCTGCTCTTGATCTACTTAATCAGAATTTCTAGGATAGAGCTGAGGCATGTATATTTTTAAACTCTACATGAATGACTGTGATAACCACACATGATTACATGTCACTATCTTAATAGGTAGCAGAAAAAGACAACTGTACAGAAATACTGGGTGTACCATAAAACTTCAGTAACTTGCACTAAAGTTGCACAACAAAGTCTACTGGAACCACAGATGATTTTGTTACCATTTCAGTGAAATTCCTGAAATAAAAATTCCTTTTTATGGAAGATGTATATATTATAATAAAGGGGGGAAAGATCTATAATCTTAAATACTAAGAGATGGTATAATTTGATATATTTTCTTCTAGTTATTTTTACTTATTTTAATATGGCTGAGATCATGTAGTAGATGCAACTTTGTACCATGTTTTTTCTTGTTAACAGTATTTCCCCACATTATTAATTTGTTCTCAGCATTGTTTCAGTGGCAACTCTTAATTTTTTTAACCATTTTCTGAACCATTCAAGATTGTTTCCAATTTTTCTGCTATGTAAAGAATGTGTAATAAACACCTTCAACTGCATAATATCATAAAAAAATTAAAACACTATGATTCTGTTAATCTGTAGTCTTTATAAATTGTTCTTGAAATATCAAGATTATATGCTTATAATACTAGAAAGGAAAACCCTCACATGGTTTTTAAAACTGTCAAGGAAGGAAAACAAACATAAATAAACATACCTCCTTCTGATAATTTTACTCATGTTTACTCTCAAAATAGTAATAGCAACAGTTAATCCTTTTTTAGTGCTGGCTGTTTACAATATGATTCTTTTTTTTTGGCTGTGTGTGCTACGTCTTAACACTGATATTCAGATAAGTTTCAGATGAATCCAAAATTGACAGAACCACAAAAATACAGAAGAAATGAAAAATGTATGCTTTATTATTCATAAGGGGGAGACCTTACTAAGATATACAAAAAGTCAGAGGCTATGACTTTATAAAGGAAAAAAAACTAATCACCTGCATGTCAACTGAATTTAACAGATTGAATATTTTTGTATATTAAAAGCCACATAAGAAAAGTCAAGAGACATATGACAAAGTGGGGGGAAAGTTGCAATCCATTTCACAAAGGTATAATTCTCCTAAAAGATAAACAACTCCTGCAAATCAAATAAGAAAACAGGCTACCAGCCCAACAGGAAAAAACGGCCAAAGATACATACAGACAGTTTATAAAATTAAAAGAATAAAATAAAATAGAGGCTATTAATCATCAGGAAAAAAGTTTAACTTCATTCATAATTAGAGTAATACAAATTATAACTACAGTGAGAAGGCATTTTTCACCATCAGGCTGATAAAGACAAAAGTTCACTAAAAATTGTTTGGGTGAGGATCTGAGGAAATAGATATTAACCTTTTGATGATGGGAGTTGAATATCTTCCATACAGGGAAATTTGGCAGTATCTACCAACTCAATTATCCTTAGATCCAGTAACAACATTTGTAGAATTTTACCCTACATATATACTCAATCATGTGTGAAATGACATGAACATGAACATTAATTAAAGCACTGAATGCAACAGATTAGAAATAATTATCAAGAAGAAACTGGTTAAATAAATTATGATGCTCCAGCTCAATAAAGCCCAATACAGTTATTTGCTGATAACAATTGTTAAGTTAAAAAAAGCAACATAAAAGAAGTGAACATAGCAATATACACAATATGCTCCCTTTCCATGTTAAAAAAAAAGGGGGGGGGGAGGGAGTAGAATGCATTTGTTTGTGTGTTAATATATACATTGGCAGTGCTGCAATACATTTTACTGGAAGGATACACAAGTAACTCAGAAACTGCTAGTAATTGCCTCAGAGGAAGAGACCTGGGAGGTTGGCAAGAAGGAGCAGAGACTTTTCACTATGTAAGCTTTCGTTCCTATTGAGTTTTGTATTATATGAATATACTACCTATTCAAACATGTTAAATGAATTATTTTTTATTACTTCAATCAAAAGGACAGAACATTAGGAAGCACAGTCTTTCTCACAAGGAGATATGGATAATAACTACTAAAATTTCACAACTAAAATAATTAACAAAACTTCACAAAAGAAAAGTCTCAAAAATTACCAACATATGCAAGTTACATATATAAGTAAACATTCTAATTTACACTAATATTACCCCAAGACTGAAAAACCCATCTTGCAAAAGCCTCAGAAATTATAAAGTGAAACAACAAAAAAAAAGGGAAGGAGCCAAGATGGCGGAGGAATAGGACGGGGAGACCACTTTCTCTCCTACAAATTCATCGAAAGAACATTTGAATGCTGAGCAAATTTCACAAAACAACTTCTGATCGCTAGCAGAGGACATCAGGCGCCCAGAAAAGCAGCCCATTGTCTTCGAAGGGAGGTAGGACAAAATATAAAAGATAAAAAGGGACTCAGGAGAGCTACGGACGGAGACCCGTCCCGGGAAGGGAGTCTTAATAGAGGAAGTTTCCAATCACCAGGAAACCCTCGCACTGGCGGGACTGGGGGAAGTTTTCGGCAATCTAACTGGGAGGAAAAATTCAACAAGGCCCACAGATTACGTGCCTAAAAGCAACTCCCAGCAGAAAAGTACCCCAGACGCCCGTACCCGCCAGCAACAAGCGGGGGCGGGACGGAGAGGAGCGGGCGGCATTGCTTAGGGTAAGGACCGGCCCGAAGACCCTGAGAGCAATCCGAGGGAGCTTTTTTAAACTGTGGGATAGCAAGGGTCAAAATTAACAGGCCCGAACACACTGCCGGCGGTTGGCAAAACAAAGGGCCTGAGAAAGTCCAGAGAAGAGCCGGCCCATCCCCGCTGGAGGTTGGAGGCAGGGCCGAGGGGAAAAGGGCAAACTCAGCCCCAGAGAAGCCACCCCCTCCCACACTGCAAACAGGCCCCCGGTTCCTATCTAAAGACTTCTGAGACCCGACTGGCGGTGCGCGCTGGGGCCGCGGAGGGAAAAAGCGCGCCGGACCCGGGGAGAGTGCGCCCAAGCCTCTGGCTGCCTGAGCTGCCCGCCGCGGAGAGAAAAGGCGCGCTGCACCCAGCGAGAGTACGCCCAAGCCTCTGGCTGCCTGAGCCGCTCACCGCGGAGGGACAAGGCGCGCCGTACCCGGGGAGAGTGCGCCCAAGCCTCTGGCTGCCTGGGCCGCTCAGGCCGGGGAAGGCACAAAACGCAGGCGCAACCGAATCTGCGCTTTTGTGGAGTACCTGAAAACTGGAACCGCACTCAACGCAGGGCCCGCTCCATATAGAGCAGCCGGGAGCCTGAGCAGTGTAGACGGCGAAAGCACTGACACCCGTGAGTGGGGCAAACCCAGTGTGACCGGAACACGGTGAGTGCTATCCACACAGAGCGGTATCTGTCTGCAGCGCCCCGCCCTCCCCGTAGCAGGACTAAACTGAACTAGAGAACCGAAATAAGAGATCACCTCCACCCGCCTGTGTCAGGGCGGAAATTAGACACCAAAGAGACGGCAAACAGAAGCCAAATAAACAAAGGGAACCACTTCAGAAAGGACTGGTGCAACAGATTAAAATCCCTGAAGGTAACACCGACTACACAGGAAGGGGCCTACAGATATCGAGAAGTGTAAGCTGGAAAGAGGAGCTATCTGAAATGGAACTGAACCTATACTAACTGCAACAACTCCAGAGAAATTCCTAGATATATATATATATTTTTTTTTAATTAAAAAAAATTTTTTTTCTCCCTTATTAATTTCTTTTATTTTTTCTCTTTTATTTTCTTTTAAAATTCCCTATTACTCCCCCATTAGTCCTCAACTTTCATTTTCATATATTTTTACGATTTTTTTATTTAGGGAAAAAAGTGTTTTTTTCGTTTTTCTCTTCTATTTCCTTTCTATTTTCTATTTCTAACCCTATGTGCAAAACAGAAAAAGAGACTCCTATGTATAGAACAGACTTGTGGACTCTGGGAGAAGGCGAGGGTGGGATGTTTCAAGAGAACAGCATTGAAACACGTATATTATCTAAGGTGAAACAGATCACCAGCCCAGGTTGGGTGCATGAGACAAGTGCTCGGGCCTGGTGCACTGGGAAGACCCAGAGGGATTGGGTGGAGAGGGAGGTGGGAGGGGGGACCGGGATGGGGAATACATGTAAAAAAAAAAAAAAGATACACTATGGTTGTGATAAAAAAAAATAAATAAATAAATTAAAAAAAAAAGAATAATAAAAAAATAAATAAATAAAAAATTAAAAAAAAAAATTATCTTTTGCTTTGCAGACTCATATAGATTCAAGAATTACAGTTCTTATGCAAAAAGCTGATTAGAGCTAACTGTTGTTTATTATAAAAGTTTGTATAATGCATACCTGAAAACTCGCCCGTAATTCCCATGTACTTTATACACACCATATAGTCGATCTGCTACTCTCTGGAATAAATATTCAAAAGAAATTGCTATTAGTTATAAACCGTTCACTGTTTATAAGTTATAAACAGATTACTAAAAATACATTTTATCTTCATTAAAAAATACAAATGTATACTTAGTACAACTTGAAAAATATGCAAAAAAAAAAGAGCTTAAATCTCCCAAAGTCTCATCATGGGGGAAAAAACTAATGTTGTCATCATATTTATATAATTTTTTCATATATATATGTACATATATATATGTTTTAATTAACATTTTAAAATTTCCTATACCAAGAGTGCTAATATTTTTATCCAGCAGGTTAATATTATTTTTAATAGATACCAGTTAAAAAAATAGATGCATAAAATTTCACCTAGTGGTATATAAATTATATAGACAGTCCTTGTCAGGTACTCAGTTATCCCTAACTTTTTTCTGTATTAAATAAGCATTCTCTGAGAGTACAGCTTTTTCCAAATTTCAGACTGCTTCCTTAAGATAAAAGTCCCCAAAGAGGGATCTACCAGGGAAGAGAATATAAACATTTTCAATTGTATTATTGATAGTTTTATACATAAATGCTACACACATGCAATATACTTCCTGTGCTATTTTATCAAATTGATGCCTTCTAACCATTTAATAACAGTAGAATTACAGTTTAGCTCACTGAGATTAAAACACATACCACCCCATCATTCACACACATCTTGCAAAAGACAAAAAACACTGTGTGTGGTAATCTCCTTTCTTCAAAGTGTTATGGACATGAAATAGAAGACCAGAAGTCAATGCCACATAAAACTCTTTAAAAAAAATTTCTAGTATACAATTTCTCAATGTAAATCCTGAAGATGAACTGCCCCTCTAACTCCTTACTCAGTTCAGTTCAGTTCAGTCACTCAGTCATGTCCGACTCTTTGCAACCACATGAACCACAGCATGCCAGGCCTCCCTGTCCGTCACCAACTTCCAGAGTTTACCCAAACTCATGTCCATTGAGTCAGTGATGCCATCCAACCAACTATCTCATCATCCCTTCTCCTCCTGCCCTCAATCTTTCCCAGCATCAGGGTCTTTGCAAATGAGTCAGCTCTTCGAATCAGGTGGCCAAATTCCTTACTCAAATATGAGTAATTTGAGGAAACAGGCATTAGCCATACAAATCTTAACCTGTTCAACACTTCAGCTTAAAAGTCAGTAAACCACACTGTAAAACTCGGAGCTGGTACAAGAGGATCATAAAGTGCTTTCCATCTCTCCTTGACCTGCTATGAAAAAACACACACCTGCTAGATGAGGGGACAGCACACTACTGGTCTACAGCTAGTTTCTGTGTAGTCTTACTAGAACAGTCATACTCACTCACGTTAGCACTACCTATGGCTGCTTTCACAGCAGAGTTGAACAGCTTCAACAAGGGCCATACGACCCAAGCAGGTGAAAATAATTACTATCTGGCCTTCAGAAAAAGTCTGCCAACTCCTGTACTAGACTCCATTTCCAGTACAAAATTCACAGTCTTTACTATGCTTGAAATTTTTCAGGGTTGTCCGCAGACCTCTAAACTAGTTACTCTGGGACGTTATTTCCCAATTATTTTTTGAGAGTCCTACAGAGTGTTGACTGGTTGTTTAAATGGGTTCCATTGTTAAATAAATTTTGGAAACAATGAGATTTAAAGTTTAACAGGTTGTTGTGGTTTTTTTTTTCTACCTGACTTTTTAGATCTTTAACACTATATATGAATAAGGACTACTCAGAGGGCGTGATTTGCAGTAGGGACCATCTAATAGGACTAGCATTCTGAAGATGACAAAATGGAAAATGCCATTCTAAACTACTAACTTTTCTAGATTCTTATACTTTGAAAAATCAAACCTCCTCCTGAAAGCTGAGCATTTTATCATCTACCTAAGATACAAAGCATGGAAAAGAGGGAAAGAATTTGTTAAATAACCACATAAGTATAAAAACTAGAGCAACTTAAATACAAAATACATATCCAAAATAAACGTGCAAGAAAAAGTTTTTGAATCCCAGGTGTTTAAAAGTTTTGGTTTTTTTCTTTAAATTTTATCACTCCGTGCAGCAGATACAAAAAAAGCTTCAATCATAATAATTAGAGCTCTGGAAAATACTCTAGTCCACAGAGCATGACAAAAAGAGGCAAGAGTTCTCATACGCCAGAAAGATGAGCAACTACACAAGGAACCACTCTACTAGAGAATGAGGCAACACAGAGCCACTCAGCAGTTGTTACTGAACCAGCAGTGATGTTTCTGCTATCAACTACTCATGGAAGTAAATTGTGCTAGCCAGCTAAAACACGAGATGACTAGTACCCAGATCATCAGGCAGTGAGAAAAAAGATGAAGCAAAGAAAAACTATAGACCAAAGATGAGCATTTCTACAGAAAAGTAAAGATAAAGATGGCCAGGAAATAAATCATGAATTATTAAAACCTATGGCTCAGTGGTAAAGAATTCACCTGCCAATGCAGGAGACACAGGAGATGTGGGTTCAATCCCTGGATCAGGAAGGTCCCCCTGGGAAGGAAATGGCAACCCATTCCAGTATTCTTGGCTGGGAAGTTCCATGGACAGAGGAGCCTGGGGGGCTACAGTCCATGGTGTCACAAAAGAGTCAGATGCAACACAGGGACTAAACAACAACAAAACCAGATTAATTCAATGGTCACTGGTAATCAAGAATCGTGGTGCCAGGGAAAAGGGGCTAGACCCAATGATTTAGTCTAGACTGCCACTCAATTTCAATTCTGTTGACAAGTCTTTCTTTTTGAAAACTGATCATCTTAACAACTGACAGGAGAGGACTGACACCTAGCAAATAATATGACAACAGAAGAAACCTGACAGACTCATCATATCATCCTCCCCAGCTCTGAATCATTTGGATCTATGCTAAGAATGCCTTCCCTATCCATACTGAAGTAGTAGCAGATTAAATGTTAAAAAGGACATAAAGTTTTATGACAGTCTATTAAATGATCTTACTTTAAAAATCTGGACACATAGTTTTTCTTCTGAAATTACCTCCTAAGGAGGCAATGATCATGGAATTTAAGACTCATGACACTACTGCTAAAATCTTTCCCAAAGGAGTTGCAAGACTTTACATTGCCATCACCGAATATTTCATAAACACTACATATTGCTATCTATACAAATGACTACAAATTAAATGTTAAATAGTAGCTCAATAATTTCAGCTTACACAGTTAGCATATTAGCAAAGTTAAGCAATCCTCCTTCCCTTCTAAATGTGATTTCCCCTAGAGAGGCAGCAAATATGATTATAAGAAAAAAGGGATTTGCTTCCTAATCTATAAACTGGGGACAGTCACAGCACCTACTTTCAAAGGGCCACTGTCAGAATTAGGTAAAAATAACATACCATGGTTGGCTTATATACAACAGTAAAGATAATAAATATTAGATCAGTTCAGTTTAGTTCAGTCCTCAGTCACGTCTGACTCTTTGCGACCCCTTGGACTGCAGCACACTAGGCCTCCCTGTCTATCACCAACTCCCAGAATTTACTCAAACTCATGTCCATCGAGTCGGTGATGCCATCCAACCATCTTCATCCTCTGTCATCCCCTTCTCCTCCTGCCTTCAATCTTTCCCAGCATCAGGGTCTTTTCCAATGAATCAGTTTTCTGCACCAGGTGGCCAAAGTATTGGAGTTTCAGCTTCAGCATCAGTCCTTCCAATGAACACTTAGGACTGATTTCCTTCAGGATGGACTGGTTTGATTTCCTTGCAGTCCAAAGGACTCTCCAGAGTCTTCTCCAACACCACAGTTCAAAATATTAGAAATTAGTATTTTTTCCTTTTGTTTTAGTTTATGAAACATGGATGATCTCATCCGATTATCACAACTCTATGAATAACACACTCACTCATGTCACAAAAATTTATGCAGTACCTACTGTGTACAAGGCAGATACTCTCCAAGAAAACAAACTCTAAAAGGTCTCTAGATTTGCCTGAAAAACTTAGTAAACGGCAGACACAAGTGTTAACTCCAGCTCCTCTCAATTTAAGACTACCCACCCTTTCTGGTTGTTCTGTTTTTAATATCTTAAATATTAACTCTTTAACCTGTAAGTCATTTATTTTTCACCTTTTCTATCAAGACTTTCAAAAGATTTTTTCCCAACAGAAAAGATAACCAAATAATTGTATTTTCTCTTTATCTGTTAACAAGTCATCATGTCTCCAACAGTGTCTAAAGGCTTCTTCTCCTGACACTGAATGTTACAAAAAGGCTCTCCCTGTGGCAATCTCTATGTTGTTTTCAGGATTCTGTCAAGTGTTGGGCTCTAACCTTCCATTTTTAACTTTTATGTTATTGTCAATGATTAAAGAGCCTTTTTCCTAATTCTAGAACAATCAAGATTTCAGCTATTCCATATTTTTCACTGGCATTTATCTTATTTACACAGTCAAAATCTCAATCTGACTCACAGATCAAGTGCTGTCTTTCCTTTGAAGCGCTCAAGCAGTCTTTAAGGTCAATTAAGTTTCTGAAACCTGTTTTCATAAAGTCTAGGGTAAATATCTAGACCCAGAATTCTCTTACTTGTATATTACAAGCTCTTTGATGACAAGGTCATTTTCTTTAGAAGTTCCTGTCATATATACCTTACTAACCAGTTCCCCTTGGCTGGTTATAGTTAAGTTCAAGAAGCAATTTATCTTACTGCTTTTCAAGATTTTTTTAAACATGAAACTGTCAGCACATACATTTATTTATTCATCCATTCAATGAATACATAGTGGGTGCTATTTGAGTCAGACATTATTCTCAGGATTCAGCAGTAAGAAAACAAAGCTCCTGCTCTTGCGAGCTCACATATATACTAGTAGAGGAAATAATTAACAGTTCAGAATGACAGAAAATGACAGAAACAATAGAAACCTGCACCGCATTTTATATAGGATGCTCAGGAAAGATAATTTCTCTCAAGAGGTATTTGAACCAATAACTGAACAACAAAAAGAATAAGCCAAGAGAGGATCCTGGCGGTAGGGCATGGGGGAAGAATGGTACAGGCCCAGGAAACAGCAAATAAAAGACCAGAAACAAGCTTGGCATGGTTAAAAATAGTTAGAACAAGGCTAAAACAAAGTGCCGCAATGTTTAGTCACTAAGTCATGTTCTTCTGCAACCCCATGGACTGTAGCCCACCAGGCTCCTCTGTCCATGGGATTTCCCAGGCAAGAATGTTGGAGTGGGTTGCCATTTCCTTCTCCAGGGGATCTTCCCAAACCAGGGATCGAACCCTAGTCCCCTGCACCTCTCCTGCATTAGCAGGCAGATTCTTTACCACTGAGTCATGAGGGAAGCCCTCAAAATGAAATGTACAAAGTACTGAAACAGCTGTGTGCGAGACTCAAAATTTTCTGTAACATCACTATTACATTTTATCATGATCTCTAAAGATCATTAAGTATTAATCACATTCAAAAATATACTTTCAGCAGAAAGCCAAATATGATCACTGGATATCCTACCTTGACTGTGATAATTTTCTTACTTGCTTTATGAGAGCAATCACCCATACCTTCTTGCAGGCTAGATGATCTGCAGCACAGCTTCACAACAGTGATGACAGTTATTTCCTCCCTCCTCTAGATCTCATTCAAACTTATTCCCTACACTTTACAGATTTTCTGGGTTTTAACTGTTACACTTTGTTCAATTCACCACTCATCACTGACACTTCTGCAAAATCTGACTATGGTTGGTTTTTCTGCCTTTTCCCTTTGTTTCTTCTGGATGTGAACGACTGCTTGAGAACCTCTCAATACCTGGGGCTGGTCACGTGCCTGCTTTAACAGCGTGCCTCTGCCCACCCAAGACCCCCAGCACTGTCCAGCTTCCTGCGGCATGACACCTTCCACAGGGTGCCCCCTCTTCCCTTTGGTGGAAGGTCTTTAAGAAGGATACAGCTTTCATAATCAGCCAGACCTCTAATTTAAGTAAATTCTCCAGGTTTTTTGACAGAGAAGACAAAACAATATGAAGGGTTCTTCCAGTCTTCTGGGGTGTCTCTGACCCCATCTTCACTTTCCATTAAGAACTGTTGCCTTATTTGTTTAGGTAACTTCAAAGCAACTAGAGGCCTAGAAATTTTATCTCATCAATTCACGAGTCCTTTTCAATACCCCATTCTTGACTCTACCCTAATAATTCTCATAGGTACCTTTTTCTTTTCCTACAAAGTATCTTACAATTTACATAAAGAGTCCTATAGTACTCTGGATGGTTACACAGATTGGGCCAATATGAGGATACTTCAAAAAGAGTGTTCCCTTACTTTATATTTTTATACTTTTTATGAAATCTTCAAACATACAGAAAGTAGAGAATAGTAGGATATACCCCATTTCCCAACACTTAACCATCAACAATTATCATATGGCCAATTAAGTTGCATCTAAAGTTGACCCCACTCTGCACCCTTTACCAGCAGACTCTTTCATTAAAACAAATCCCAGATAATATATTTCATTTCAAGATGATTCCAATGAGTGTAAGATATGATCCCAGACCTGGTAACTCAGTGTCTTTCAAAGCCTTTAAGACCAGTTCTAAGGTTTTCTCTAGGTTACCCCAAAGGACCAGAGTGGATGATACAACATTTTTCAGATACTACATTAATCCACCCAAAAATATATTTCTCCATGTCTATTACAGCCAAACTCTACAGGTAAGTACAATCATCACTGGTATATTTCTAGTTCCTCATGTCATAGCAGACCATTACCCTACATAAGTTTATTTAGGATAATATAAGAGCACAGACACAGAATGACTTAATATTAACTATTTACCAACCTTAAAAAAAAATCTTGAAAGAAAAAAAGAATAGGTAGATCAAAGTCACACAATTATATTCAATGCTAAAATGGCAGGCCCTTTGATAAATGTTTGTCAAAACAACCATATACTAAGGGGAAAAAAAAAAAAACAAGAAACCATACAAAGACTACAGAGAAAACAATAGGTTAAAATTCTTTAAGTTATCTATGCCAGAAAAAATTTCACAATTAAAAAAAATGCAATTTAGGTGAATAACACACCAAATTTGAATATAAAAATCAGTTATTCATCATAAATATCTTCCATTACTTAAAAACATAATGATTAAATGAGAAGCACTTCCATAAAAACACCTGTCAAAAAGATTCTGGTGACCACTTACAGCTCTGACTCGAAGGAGATGTGAGATGACAGATTGGAGTTCATCACTATAGTGTTTTAGTTCAATAAATCTCCTGAAATAGGAAACAAAACATCATTTTTTTCATGAAAAGCAGTCAAAAACTGAAAGACAAAACAGCAGTTCCTGAGAATAATGAGACTGACTCTATTTAACCATATGCTAGCCTTAAACATTTACACACTGATACAAACTCAAAAAGTTCTAAAATTACTACTACAATATTATAAAGTAATTAGCCTCCAACTAATAAAAATAAATGAAAAAAAAAAGAGCTCTTAAATTAAATAACCACATTTTCTTTAGATATTTTTAAAGCCAAGGAAAGATGTCATACTTTATAATTAATACCATGGAACTGAGATACAGATAAAATTTGTTGGTATGAAAAATTACTTGGGAAAAAAAGAAAACAGGAGAAAATTTATGGTGCTAAAAAAATCTTTTGGTATAAACATAAACTCATGATCTCGAACCCTAATCTTCATGCTGCTCAGTAATCTTTGTTTCTATAATCTAATACCTGCCATTCTCCGTAACGACCTGAAACTTCATATAACACTGCTCTTCCAGCAATGTAACAGCTTACTTCACCCTCCTCAAAAACTTATTTCCTTGACATCATTGTTAATTTTTCCTTTTACTCTCTGGTCACTCCTAAAGTCTCCTTTGCAGGACTGACTTCCTTCACCAATCTCTTATACTGTCAACTTTAATGTGCAAAAGACTCCTAAAATATTTGCCAGAAACACAACTGAGGGCCTCAGTAAAAGAAGGCATGAGTAATCACCATAACTGTACACAGAGGCCCTAGTGGGACTCAGGAATCTGAATTTATAACAAACTCACTCACAGGGTTCAGATGCTGGTAATCTTCAGATTATACTATGGAAAACACCCTTCAAGCACTGGTTTCTTTAGAGTTCAGCCCTAGGTCCTTGCCCATATTACAACCAATCATTTGGTCTACATACTCTATGTGCGTGCATGCGGGCCAAGTCACTTCAGTTGTGACTGACTCTTTGCGACTCTATGGACTCTAGCCCACCAGGCTTCTCTGTCCGTGGGATTCTCCGGGTAAGAATACTGGAGTTGGTTGCCATGCCCTCCTCCAGAGGATCTTCCTGACCCAGGGATCATCCTGGGTCTCCTGCAATGGTAGGCAGGTTCTTTACCACTAGCGTCATGTGGGAAGCCTGTACTCTATGTGACTTATTCACAAAGCTTCACGATTATGATCTACATGCTGCTGAACTCCAAATATCTATCTCCAGCCCAAAACTCTCTCCGAAATGCTCGCTCTATAATGCCAACTGGCTAGCAGATATTAGTAGCTGCTTACATATCCAAAGTTCAACTTATCTTCCCCTATCCCATCAAATCTCTCTCCTCTGTACTCCCTAGCAGTTTAAAGAATGAAACCTAGGTGTCACCTGTATTTCCTTCTCCTCTCTTTCATCCCATACATTCTATTAATCACTTGGTTTACCTCCTAAATATCAGCCAAATACTGCCACAAGGAAGTAGAAGACTCAAGGTCCTCCTCCTCACTACTTTGAACAGTCTAAAGAAAAATATCCAACTAATAAAAATAAATGAAAAAAAAAAAAAGGAAAGAAAAATAAACGTGCATGAAGGAGGTATTATTTTGGTATTCCCTCTGAAACTCTTTCTGGTTTTCTAGATTTTAAGAAAGAACAGAAAGAAAGTGTTTTAGTGATATAAACTATTTTAGTAGTACTATGAATAATAACTAATCTACTGGGCCAGCTAGACCTAGAACAGAGATTCTATATATTAAAAATCTGTTACAACAATGACCGATACAGATAATTCTCTAATCTAAAACTTAAGGCAAACAAATTCTATTACTAATTATATACTTTAACAAGAAATTAGGAGCAAATAACTGCCCTGGTTATGTTATTGGCCGTATCACATTTAAAATTCTATAATATGGATATTAAATAAAATTTAGCAAACTAGAAAAGATAGTAGGTCAGAAAAGGGAAGACAAACATACAATTGACATTTTTTAAAAAAACACTTGACTAACAGTAGCATTAAAATATTAAATTGTCTCATTTACACGCTCCTGTAACGAATGTACATTCACCAATGTTGTAAACTCTGCCGCTTACATTTTCCAAAGCTTTTTTTGGAAGGTGACATGATTTTAGTTCTTAATCTAGACAACACTTCTTATATACTATGGATGTCTAACCTTTTAGTTCTTAATCTAGACAACACTTCTTATATACTATGGATGTCATAACCTTTATTAAAACCTCAGCGGAATCTTAAATGCATACTGTAAAGCAAATGTCTGTCTGAAAATGCCCCGTACTATGATACAACATTCTGGAAAAGGCAAAACTATGGAAACAGTAAAAAGATCAGTGGTTGTTAGGGTTATGGGAAGGAAGAGATAAAAAGGGAGAGCAAAGAGGATTTTTAGCACAGTGAAAATACTTTTCATAATACTATAATGATACATACATGTCACTGTACATGTGTCAAAATCCATGCAATATATAACACCAAGGGTGAACCCTGATGTAAACTATGCACTTTGACAGGCATCATGATGAGTCAATGCAGGCTGATCAATCTTATCAGCCTGGTATCACGCTGGTAAGGGATAACAGGGGTGGCTGTGTGTATCCAGGAACAGCTGTTCAAGTGTAGGGGCAGAGGGGATATGGGAGCTCTGTATGATGTTTCACTTAGTTTTCCTAGGAACCTAAAACTACTCTAAGAAACAAAGTCTATTAAAAAAGTGAAAACCTCAATGGTTACCATCACAATTTCCTAATTACCAAAACTTTAAAATATTAATATTTACATCTTATATTCAAAAGTTATATTAAAAAGTAGAGGCATTACTCTAATGTGTTACGGTTTATGAAAATCAGCATAACAGGCTATTAGACTATGCAAATTTGGCCTTTGTCTGCTAAAAATGTACACTACGTAGAAGTTAAGGCTTGAAGGCCTGACTAGCGAACTTCTAACAGACCTCGTAAACTTGGTCTTTTAACTTGGGTTTTTCCAAGAACCCCATCTACCTAAGCACATTTCTAACTGGAAAGTACAGCTGAACTAAGCCTGAGGCAAAGGTACGTGTGATGAAGAGCCTGAATTATCTGCCAAATTCAAAGAATGAGCAAAACCAAATCTTAAATACCTAGATTCCACCCTTCGGAAAGTTATTTCCGAATACACAGCTTCATTAATATAGAAATGCTCTCACAAACTCCAAACTAACATTAATGAAGTCAGGTAACCATCATATAGATATAGTTCCATGAAATTATTATACTAGTATGCATTTACTTATCAAGTTTTCTTGGCATTCAAAGTAGTTTATTATTAAAATAGATAATATATTATCTTGAGTTTTGCACATATCTGACAAGCAAAGTCTAATAAGAAAACCTATTTTATATGAAATTAAAATTACTTTCCTCATTTTTCTGATACCTTCAATAACACTTAATAAATCCTTCCAGGAAAAAGCAGTGGTTTCATTTCCTAAAACTTCAGTTACTTACAACCTTAATCCCAATAAAATCATCAAATTTCAAAATCAGTTTTAGACTTTAAAAGGATTTCACTAATATGAATTTCTATTTAAAATATTTAGCAAATAAAGTGCATACATTCAGAAATGAAAAATTAAATAGATTGATAGGCACCATTCAAAACAACATTGTAACTGTTATTAAAACAAAACCTTACTTGTCTGGGTTTTTCACTCTGAATGTTGCATTAAGCGCTTTTAACCTGGAGTCTGCCTGGAAAAAATAATTTATTCACTTAATACAATTACATTTCAGGGTATAAATCCAAACAGTTTTATTTTCCCTTTAGAATTAAGCTATTCAAGTATACTTTTCTTCATATTATTTGTGTCAAACACATTAAACATATCCCAAAAAACACCTAGTAGTTATTTTTTTAAACACTGCAAAAATAATATTATAAATACATGACATTCAATGATACCAAAGTAAAACAACTGTAAATACCAACAGACAAGCAAGCATACAGCTCTGCATTATAATAACTCAGAATAGGTTGTGTCAAAAAGTAGTTTACTTTTTCTCTAAATCAAGAACAATGATCTGTATATATAAACTAAATAAAATTATTGCTTTGAAGCCTGTGCATTACTGACAGATTCTCAGATGGAATCTAAACCAAATGTACACTGGTTTTTCTCCTTTTCATGATCAGAATTTTAGAAAAGAAAGAAATATGAAAATGCCTGGACTAAATTAAAACAAGCTAGATGACATCAAACTAATTCCTTTTTAGCTGACATAAAACATTACAACACAACTCTTAAACAACCTTTACTTATTTCTAGATATTCTGACACAACTATTTAACTACCTTTACTTATTTCTGCTGCTGCTTAGTCGCTAAGTGGTGTCCAAATCTTTGCAACCCTGTGAACTACAGCCAGCCAAGCTCCTCTGTCCATGGGATTTCCCAGGCAAGAATACTGAAGTGGGTTGCCATTTCCTTCTCCAGAGGATTCTCCTGACCCAGGGATAGAGCTCACATCTCCTGTGTTGGCAGACAGATTCTTTACCACTGAGCTACCTGGGAAACCCTTTCACTTCTACCTTATTTCAAAGGAGGGACAGAGGGATCAACACTAAATAATAATTTCATTGTATAAACTTATACTTAATATATCCAAATCTTATCCTCTTTGTCTATGTCCTCATTTAAAATATATAAATAAATGTATTTTTTCCCCCTGACCAAGGCACAAAAAACATAGGATTCACAAAAGGTAGCTCAATCAGTTAACAATTTTATAACATGATTTGGTTTTGAAAATACCAATCATCCTGAACATTTAATATCATTCCAACTTACAAAACCTAATTACAAATACTCCCCAAATAATAAAACAAACAAACCAGAACTAAGGCTTCCCAGATTACATAGCTTAAAAAAAAAAAAAAAAAACCCTGCAATAAATATACCACTCCACAAATCCAGCATCCTAAAACTTTAGACCAAAAGCAATTCAAAGAGCTATCAAGAATATCTAAAGCTTAAGTTGTCATTGAATTCAGGGGATTCTCTTATTTCTAAAATGGGATATATTTTAGGAATTTCCCTGGTGGTCCAGGGGTTAGGACTCCACACTTCCAATGCGGGGGGCACAGGTTGGATCCCTGGTTAAGAAATGAGGATCCCACACGCCATATGGCATGGCCCAAAAAAAAAAAAAAGTTTTTAATAAATAAAAGGATATTTTACCAATTCTTGACATTTCTTACATCTGAAAGGCAAAGGAGCTAATGTATGTGAAAGTCCTTTCAATTACAGCATATAGAATTTAAGGCATATATTACTCCCTTGTGTTCTTTAAGTGATTTCAAATTACCAATGTGTTAATGATTTTATAGGCACAGGCAAATAAGATTCTTTAAATAAGGATGAAATTATATAAAACCCATCAGTAAAAATAGAAAATTTTCATGTGTATCTTTTTCTGAATCTCATACTGAATACCACCAATTTATTTTTTACTTTTAATATTACCAATTTACCACTATAAAGGCATATAAAGTATAAACCATCACCATCCTAACCTTGCTTATCAAACACTGTCAGGTCAGTCCACTATAATACCCCACTCAATCTGCTCATCATTTCACAAGATTCCATAAAAAGAGAAACTGCCTAAAATGTCATCAAATTAGCAACTTCTCCCCACAGCTAGATCACTAAGTGAAAGTCACTCAGTCGTGTCCGACTCTGTGACCCCACAGACTATACAGTCCATGGAATTCTCCAGGCCAGAATACTGGAGTGGGTAGCCTGTCCCTTCTCCAGGGGATCCTCCCAACCCAGCGATTGAACCCAGGTCTCCCACATTGCAGGCGGATTCTTTACCAGGTGAGCCACAAGAGAAGCCCTACCCAAATTTGACAGGTTACCGTTCATCCATCTTATCAGATTCCCCACTAAATATCTAAAGAAGCCCTCACACCACTGTTTCACACCACCCTACTCTGTCTCCTTCACTACAGCACCGTCTGAAATCCCCTGGGTCGTTTGCTTGTTTCCTAGCTGTCCGTGAAAATATAAGAGCCACGAGGAAAAACACAATGTGAATGGGGCCCCGAGAGCTGCACAACAGCCGCCATGGCACTACTTTAAACTGCATTTTCATTCCTGTATCCCCAGCACTTCTCAATGCCTGGCACAAGAAAAACATGCACTAAGTACACTGGATGGATGGAAAAAACCCCGACTACTCTACAGTCCCAACTTACTACCTTCCCATATTCTTCAATCCCCACCTCCCTTTCCCTTTCCAATTCCTATTACATATTATACTTCTCTTGTCCTAGACCTTGTCTTTCCTCTATTTCATTTTCAGATTCTTACCTTCCTCCAAACCTTACCTCGTAAACCATTACCTGTGTGTCCTGTCTCTAACAGTCTTCTTCCTTGACCCCTTAGGCTGACTTCACTGCAGGCTTCTCATTATTCAGGTCTCAGCTCAAATGTTCTCTTCAACCATGTGACCCAGTTTGCCCAGAACAGTACTGGTTTACACCTGCTGTCCTAACCTAATTATTAGCAGAGCCTCTTTTTATTCTCAAAACTGTCTCCATTTGAACAATATATTATACTGTCATATCTCAAAATAACCCCTGGGGAAAAAATTCCAGCTGTCAGATTCTCTCACAATAACTGTTTTCTTTTTTATCACCTATAACTTTCAAAGTATCTTAAACAGATGTAAATTTAAAGTCTTCAACTACTTCAGTATAAGCTCCATAAGAACATAAGAACATAGAGCTTATGAATGTTTCCAGCTTATTCACAGTTGGATCCACAGCACCTAGAAGAGTATCCGACAGTCTGTAGGTACCTAGCATCTGGAATCTCCAGATTTAGCAGAGATCCTAAAGGCTCAGATCTTGTCTCTGGCAGTTCCTGCTCCAGGCAACAAACAAGGTTCTAGATACTTCCCTAAATTCAGGGAAGTATAAATTCATTTAAGATTGGGGCATATGGATGACACTTACTTTCATGTAACTGGGTTAAATTGGTATTTCTTTAAATTAAAGTAACTAGTTAATATGTTCGTTACTCGAAAGATAAGCTCTCTGATCTCCCTTCAGTGAATTAACAAAAGTATCATATAGACATTCAAGAAAAACAAAGGAATGCCAATATACAACAGTGATGAAAAAGTCTGTTGCTCATATTTGTGTTAAATGAAGAACAAGAGTGGGAAGGTGGGGGGAGGGGAGAGAGTTCCCTAGTGGTCCAGTGGTTCGAACTCTGTGCTCTCACTGTCAAGGGTGTCCATTGAATGTTTAACCCCTGGTTGGGGAATCAAGATCCCACAAGTCATGTAGGATGGCCAAAAAAAAATAAAGCACAGACTTTTATACAACTAAATTTTTACAATTATCTTGCTGAGTGTGATACTCTAAAAATATTTAAGAGAATGTAAACTCTTAGGCCCAAACTACAGATTAAACATGTCTAGAAGAGAGAAATTAAAGCTATTATTTCAATTTGATGATGACAATCCAATAGCCAAGTTCAAATATTCTTTTTTTTAATTGCAGTATTATTGACCTATAACACTATATTAGCTCCAGTCTGACTCAGAACAATCTCATTTTCACTGAAATATAGTTTGCAACATTCCTTTACCAACCATCTTTATATACATTAATTATGTAAATAGCTAGGGAAAAGATAAGTAATACAGAATGGTAATTAAGAAGGCCTGGACTTGAATTCAGCCTCTATCACTTATAACTATATGACTGTGGATTAAGTCACTTTCTCAAGTTCCTGACCTAAAAAGCTGGGATAATACTGAACTAACCTCAAAGGTACTGAGGCAACTGCCAGCAAAAAAAGCATGAACACTGTATCAGAGTACAGTGCTTAAGCACATAGTAAACATTTAATGGTAATGATATTCAGACAAAATACTGCTTTTTGTTCTAAACTTTTTTTTCTTACCAATTTTGATAATCTTTTAAAATTATCTTCCTAAAAACATTCTTATCTGTCATCTTACAACAATGTTTGTCAAGTTTTAGGCCCATGGGAGTCAGTATGTCTGCAATGAACTCTAGGATTCAATATTCTGAACAATCCCAACAAATTGAGACTCATGAAGCCAACTGACCACACTTGAAGAAACATTGAATTTAAAAAATTTTTTTTACATCAAAAAACTAGTTGCATGCTAAAAAGAAGAAGAAGAAAAAACACTGAATTATAAGTACTCAGCCAGCAATTCAACCTTTTCTGGAAGCCTCAAAGTAACCACTATAAACAACTAATACTGAATCCACCTGTGATGCAATGAAGCACGAGAGGCTACAAAGGTGTGTGGGGATTTGGCACCATGCCACAGACCCCAGTACTGCAGTGTCTGACTCTCATGTCACTGTTATACTTTACCAGCAGCCTCAGCTGTCAATTCTCACTATTGTCACAGTATGCCTATCTCCAGCAGTATTCACCTTTAGACCTTTAAAACTTTCTAGTAGGCTGCAGACTAAAAATAAGTCAAGTTTGTCTGGATAACTACAATAAAATTAATTGGATACTATCTGAAAGGACCAAAGTATATCTGTAAGCAGTGTAGTAAGTTATGTCACACCCATCTGAACATCTCAGAAGTCAGTTCTAAATCCCACCTTTTGACTGTGATCACGTTAGTTAAAACTACCAAATACACAACCTCTAGATAAGAGAAGTGAGTCTTTCTCTCTCTATACATACATGAAGTGAAGTGGAGTGAAGTCACTTAGTCATGTCCGACTCTTTGCAACCCCGTGGACCGTAGCCCACCAGGCTCCTCTGTCCCTGGGATTCTCCAGGCAAGAATATTGGAGTGGGTTGCCATTTACTTCTCCAGGGGATCTTCCCAACCCTGGAAGGGTTGACACTTCAACCTCTGAGCCACCAGGGAAGCCTGTCTATATATATATAGACATACAGAGATGCATGTACATGCTTAAATGTATGCATGAATGTACATGCATGTGTTAGTCCAAAAGGTTCCATTTCCTTGCAAGTTTTTCCAAATTTTCCCTATACATTTTATGTCTAGTCCATTTCAATTTCTATTTTTCAAATTACTAATACTGTGTACAGAGTATTACCTTTCAAAGATTTTATAAAAGTGAAACTAGGATTTTACCATAAGGCTACCCAAATATAAAACATCGTATCTAAACACTTAGGTAGCATTGACACACAAGATTCAAAGCACTCTGTAAACAGAAGAGTCTAAATGGATGAGGAAATTCATGAATTTTCTCAAGGCCACCCAGTTACCCACAAAAACTGCGCTAAGGAAAAACAACTGAGAACCAGTTACTAAAATAATGACTAAAACAATGACTAAAAGTTTTTAAATTTTCTATTATATAAAGAGACATTACCCAAAAAAATATTTCAGTTTGTTCTTTTCTTTAATATTAGCTCCTAAGAAATCATGGACTAGTTCTCATAAAATTCTATCAAAATATAAACAATTTTTTAAAGTCACAGTTATTTCAAATCATCTTTAAAATTCCATTATTCTCTTTTTGAGCACCACAGTGAGTTATAGCTAAGAAAATACTAATTTTCATGTTATCTGGAGTTTCAGATAACTCATAAGTTGAACCAGTAAGTTAAAATTGGTTTATGAAAATATTAGACACTTAATTACATTTTCTGTGAAGAAAAAAACATTTTCTGCTGTCTTTTTGTGTTAAAATTAAAACACCTATATGCCAATGCATTAATCTCTAGTTCTTAAAATTACTGTAAAGACATTCTGTTCTTGCTGCCTAAATCTACTGAACTTCTGTTATTGCAATATCATATGAACTGTTTATCAACTTATATATCAATTTATATTACTTTTTCTTCTTACCTAATTCTGTTTACATAAGAGATGAAAACTTAAAAATCTGCAATGTTAAATTACTTTTGGAAACAAGAGGGAGGGGAGAGCAGAGCAGAGTGAGGGCAGTCACCTTATGACTGACACGCTCCTTAATTTTTAGGAAACAGTTCCATTCCCAAACACTAACTTCTAATGGTCAAATATGATAAGCAATCAAAATCTAATTAAACCTATATCACTGATACAAAATGAATCCTATGCCCACTCAAAACTGGCCACCTTGTCTCAGTATACAAAATAAGCGTGACTGATGACTACTCTTTTAGCCTACTAAGATAGGAAAACCCAAGTTCAACCCTTTAGAAGTGTCTTTTCTATCTAACAGAGTGAGCAATTATGCGGACACCACTGACAGTGACCGTGATAAGGACAGAAGAAAGAAAAAAACATAAAAAGCATAATATGACCATACTGTGGGAAAAATCTAACTTACACCTAAATTATTGTTTCAAAATGTTCTTTCCCAAGAGAATTAAATTCATACATAAATATGTCCATTATAGTCTCACTAGTAACAAAAATTACACCAATCAAAAATAAACTGCATTGTTTCTTTAAAAACTTTACCAGTGATATTAGCTGTAAAGCCTATTTCCAATATTCACTCATACAACATTCACTTCCAATAAACAGCAGGTACCCATTAACGCATGGCACTGGGCTAGAAATTGTTAACAGACATGACAAATTATTTCATACAATTACCCTTACCTTCAGCTGAAATCCAGTTTCATTTACTGTCTCTTTCCAGTTGCCTTCCTAAAAATTAAAGGTAACTTTAGATATCACTGTAAAATAGCCCATAAGTAATATCCCAAATAAAATACCCATCATTCTGTTCTTCCCTCATGGGAGATGGGGGAAGAGGGGTTAAAAAAGAATTCTTTTCACTGCAAAATTACACATACAATCCAGATTCCAAAAGATTACCAGAGACAGCCCCAAGATTTTCTAGATCTGGGATTCAAAACACTAAAGACTAACTTTAATACCATTTAAGTGATACCAAAAAGTACAATCTTTAGTATCTTTAAGTATAAAAATGTTAGCCAGAAGAATGATGTAATACTTTGGAAATTCAAAACAAACCATGAAATACATATAAATTAACAAAGGGCAGCTCCAAGAGAATCCTTAAGAAGAAGCACTCCACAATTTAAAATTTTAAAAATCCCAAGTCAAATGAAATTTTTTAAAAGACTAAATAAAAGAAAAATACCTGTGTTAAAAACAAATAGAAGATTTTGTCTCTACAAAGGATGGGATGTGAAGCAAGTCTCAAGAGGAAATTTTCTAAACCAATTCGTCGTCCTTCCACAAAATCCGGGTCCATGTTGTCAGCAGAGAGTTTATGCCAAACGAATTCTGCCTAGATAAACAAAACAATCATGAAGAATAGTCTCAATGCTAACTACTTCTAAACTACACCACCACTTCACTCCTTACCCTTTTTTCTGGTAGAGGTGGCACAACAATATGTGGATAGTAAACTAAAAGGTAGTTTCTCAACCACTCAAATGCACTACACCGCCTCCACAGTGAGTCTGTTAGGACACTCTGACCATCACTATGTTCAACTGACCTGAAAAAGACAGAATAAGATTTCTAGTGTTTTTTAAAAATACAAATGCATGCATACGACCTCCTTTTAAAACTGGTAACTCCATTTACTGAATGCTTATGAACCAGGAGGGCTATGAACCAGGCACTGAGAACTTTTCATGTATTATTTAATTCCTACAACAAACCTGGTGAAGCAGGGATTACTGTCCCCATTTCACAGATGAGAAAGCAGCTGCATGGTATATGCTCTTCCTTCAATCACAAAGATTTGTGGGTAGAGCACTCAGATCCATCTGATTCCCAAGCCCTCACTCCTAACCACTTTCCTCCATTATAGAAAACCTATTTGAACTTGAGAGAAATAGTCATATTAGGAATATTCTTCTCAACAAAAGCCTCAATATAAGATAATTCAGTTAACATAATGGCTGGCTTTATAATATAGTAAGAGTCTGGCTTCACCAGTGTTTCATTAAAGAAAAAAGTACTTTTAACTCTCACAATGAAAGAACAACTCCTGCCACAATGACAGAACAACATTCATGCCAAAGACCATGACACCAAAAAAATCCTCAATTTAACATCATCAAAAAATCAGATGCATCCAAGTGCCAGAAAAGATCCACAAAAGTAAACTGTCAAAGAGTGGCAAGAAGGGATGTAACAAATTAATTCTAGTCTTATATTTAATATAAAGAGCTGCAGGTAATGCCATGAGTCATCCATATAAAAGTTCAATTTGGGGGAAAGCTGGGTAAAATCATAAAAATAATATTTGAAATTATTTTGACTATTTATCATTTCTGCTAGCATAATGACTATTAGAAAACATCAGCCTTCTAAACATTATTGGAACCTTCCCATTTCCTAATAGAAAATAACTTACAGATCCTCCAAGAAACATGCATATAACCAAAATGTGCATTTGTGCAAGTACAGTATAAAGGCAGAGAGGCTAAATCAGTCTCAGAATAAAGTCTCGAGAAAATGGATACACCACACCATGCTCAACACAAGATGTTCATTGTTTTTATTATTTATATATCGTTTTCTAAATTAATTCACTGTATATTAATTTAAAAGGGAAACAATATGAAATTCAAAATATACAAATGGTTTTCATGGCAAGATACAGGATTATTAAATGATAATTCATTTTAAAGAGTTGACCTAACCATTAGCTGACTAAAACTGTTCTAATTCAGATTTTCGACTTCAGCTAAAAAAACATATCTTGGGTTAATATCAAGTTTCAAATTATTCAAAATTATTACCAACAGAGCCCAAATCTTGCTAAAAAGTAGATAAATATAGCCTATAGGCAGTACACCTAAAGGCTGTTAGAAGAGCTGTTACAAGTTGTTTTTGCTTTGTTTTATTTCAAAGCCCACAAAAAGAAGTCAGCGGAAGCCACCTAAAAGCATAGAGAAGACTTTCTTTGGACCACAAAACTACCCCATTTATCCAATTATTTAATAAATGTTTAACAGCACATAATTGGTTTCACATGCAATATTTAAATTAAATGTAACCGTTTAAACCATTTAATATGACAAAGTATACAGGATCTTTAGCCCTGCTTTACAAATTAGAAGAATTCAGGAAAGACATCATACAGCTTCCCAAGACAAAAGAGGCATCTTACCTGTTAATACACACAGTGTTCTTACCTATTTTAAAAGGGTTCATACTTAATGAACAGCAAAACATAAAAATCCCTGGAGAAATTAAAATCAATGACCTTAGCCTTATTAACCCTTAGCCTATTAAACTGTAACACGATAGGCAACTGCTAAACTGACTTTCTTCATGTGTCCACAGAGTAGGTTGATGAGCTATGTGATAAAGTTGAACTTTTAGTCAATGTCAAGGCTCAACAATATTTATAGTGTCGAAGATACTCTGCATAACACTGAATTACAGCAAGAATTCTACATGACCAAAATAATAAATTCCAGGGTTCTGTGGCTGCTGAAGGTCAGTTACAGTGCTGACAAAATTATTTATAAACTATCTATAAACAGTAATTTTCAAAGTGGATGTGCATATGATATGGGATACGCAAGAATTTAAGACAGGGAAAACACAACTTATAAAGAAAAAAGATAAATTTGACTATCTTAAAATGTAAAGCTTTTGTATTTGAAAGATAAAACTATGGTCCATGGCTTATTTGCTTCAAAAACACCTGGAACTTAAGCTTAAAATGTGTTAATTCCTGGACCCCACTCAAAATTCTGTAGCTTAACAAATTTTTCAGCTGATTCCTATATATTTTAAAGTTTAAGAATCACTGTTTTAAAATAAATGAAATATAAGTGTGACAGTCAACTCAATATCCTTTTGTGTACCACATTATTCACTGATGTTCCTAGATATTTATCCAGAGGCTAGCTATATTACTCATGTATGGTCACTTCTAACTCCAACTTTTGAATTATAATTCTCTATTCATTTCAAAGTCAAGAGTAAACAACTATAATAAATAGAGTAAACAGCTATAAATTATTCCAGATTATTGAAATCAAGCGGTTCTTCTAGCAGTAAAGTTATTCAACAGCTAATTTCATTGTTGAACTGGATGAGGAAACAGGCATATACTAAAAATATCCTTTTTAGTTTTAAATTTAAGAATTTACTTAAAAAGCTAGAGCCAATACAAATTTCTAAAGTATGATATTTTAAAATGGCTAATTAAACTAAAAAAAAAAAAAAAAAAACCTCTCATGGGACCATACTTTTTAAAAATTGACTTAAAAGTCTCTGATACATATGCATGTATGTACACAGGCAGGATACTTCCCTGATCCACCAGGCAAGTCCCTCTACTTTTCTTTAAAAAATATGGACTATACTTTTTTATTAATTTTTTTTAAATATTTTGGCCACACTGCACAGCATGTGGGATCTAATTTCCCCAACCAGGGATCAAACCTGCACACGCTGCACTGGAAGCATGGAGTCTTAATGGACTACCAGGAAAGCCCCCCCTACTTGTTTTAACTGAAAGTATTTCTTCTCAGCTCACACACAGAAAAGAGCTTGTCGGTGTAGTCTTGATATAAACTATTTATAATAAGCAAAATTCCCAGGTGGTACAGTGGTAAAGAATCCACCTGCCAATGCAGGAAATGTGGGTCCGATCCCTAGGTCAGGAAGAGGCCCTGGAGAAGGAAATGGCAACCCACTCCAGTATTCTTGCCTGGGAATCCCATGGACAGAGAAGCCTGGTGGGTCACAAAGAGTCAGACATGACTGCACACACACACACACACCCTTTGCTTTTCTCTGGACAAAACAGTTTAACTCATTTAACTTTTTGCTTATGAAGTAAAAGACTTTTCTGGTGAGTTTCTGAAGTAAATAACCTTACTTATGGCTGTGCGGAGTCCTCCCTGCTGCGTGGGCTTTCCTCTAGCTGCGGTGCGCAGTGGCTTCTCTTGCCGTGGAGCACAGGCTCTAGGGGGCGGGCCTCAGTAGTTGTGGCGCGTGGCCTCAGAAGTCATGGCTCCCGAGCTCTCGAGCACAGACTCAGTAGTTGTGGCACATGAGCTTAGTTACTCTGAGGCACGTGGGGTCTTCCCAAACAGGGATGAACCCGTGTATCCCGCATGGGCAGGCCTGTGATGTGGATGGGATCTGGATGTTACTTGACACTAAAGCAAGCACCAAGTAACATCCAGTAACCTTCGTTCTCCCTCCAAAACAAATACATTCAAATTTAGCTAGAGTACCAGGGTAAAAGAAAACCCGGTCACCTGTTAAAAAGTAAAGAAACAAAAAGACAATGACTTGTAAATGATTCCACTATACAACAGAATTTGCATCAACAGCTACCAAAGCTTTTTCTAACTTCAGACATAATTCTCATCACTCACCTTGTTTCAATGAGGTAAGCAGTATATGTTTCCTGCATGTTCATGGCATTTCTTCCAGTTCGCTTTTCTGCTTCTGAAACACTAATTTCTATCTTCTTCAACGAAAAATTACTTTCTGTCATCTGAATAAAAATAGAACAACAAAAACTTTTTAAATGATACTGAAAAAAAAACCCAGCTAGTATAATCAAATCCATTATTAGTACATATCTCAGGTTACTTTTTTTTCTATCTCTTGCGTACCTAGTGGCTGCTAAACGACATCAGCAAATGATATGCCTCTTTTTACCAGCATGTAGCACATTAAACTTTTCCAGAAGCTATTTTAGCAAGTGCCATAGATTTAATTATTAAAATGTAGGCATGATTATAGGAGAAAAAAATTAAAATAAAAAGCATACCTACAGAAAAAGAGACACAGATATACAGAACAGACTTTTAGACTCTGTGGGAGAAGGAGAGGGTGGGATGTTCAGAGAGAACAGCACTGAAACAAGTATACTGTCAAGGGTGAAACAGATCACCAGCCCAGGTTGGATGCATGAGACAAGTGCTCGGGGCTGGTGCACTGGGAAGACCCAGAGGGATGGGATGGAGAGGGAGGCGGGAGGGGGGATTGGGATGAGGAACACATGTAAATCCATGGCTGATTCATGTCAATGTATGGCAAAAACCACTATAATATTGTAAAGTAATTAGCCTCCAACGAATAAAAATAAATGGAAAAAAAAAAGCATACCTATCACTTAAATGACCAAGAATAAATCTATATGGAAATGTATAAGAAAAAATTTAAAAACACTGTTTACAAGATGAATGGTCCTCAATACTGATCTTTTTATTTTACCAGTCCAATCAAATATAAAATGCTATATAACAAAAGGTGAGATTT